TACGAACTAACTGACGACGTAGAGTAGCCGGTGGTATTTCAACTATCGCTACCGATTCCTCTAGACGTGCCCTTTTTAAGCATCGTTTTATGGCTACACTTACTTGATCGCTAATGAAACACAACATAACGAGCTTCTGTTTTGGTCACGTTCTTCGTTTTGAGGCGTCGCTCTCCTAAACTTACCTCATTTGGTTGCTATTTCATAGCCAATGTAGAATATTTGCCGAGCGAAGTTGTGCCATTCATCCTTTAGTTTCCTCTTCGTGCACACTGAGCTGTCTATTCGAAACATTTCTCATAAATGCCCTCTGTGTGTGTGAATGGTGAGAAGAGACGGAATGAACGAAGAGCTTTTTGTTACTTGGTTTTCGGTACCATTTTGTCATGTAACCACTACCTGATAAGTTGATTCGAACTTTAAGAAATGGAAGCCACTCTTTTCCTGGTTTCTCATGGGTGAACTTGATGTGGTCATACTGGCCATTCAATTATTTAAAGGATTTGTCCATCTCCTGCTGAGTAGAGAAGGTGGGAAAACTGTCATCCATATATCTACAGTAGAATAGCGGCTGGAGATCAATAACAGGGGCTTCTATTTTAGATATTAACTCAATTGCAAGACTTGGTGCCAGCCGCTCTTCCGTTGCCAACTTTCATTTGCGCCTAATATTTCTTAGACCATCTGAAAACCAACCACTAGGCACCCTTTTAAGAGAGCCATAAGTTGCTGGACAGACAAGCCGTGCATATTTATTCCTCCTTCACTTTCAACAAAAAGTTCGAAGATGGGTTACATTGTGGAGTCATTCGATACGTCGGTGTAAAGCGCGGAAACATGGAAGGAGTCCATCACGTACGCGTTGTTAGAAGATGCGTTGCGTAGATGTTCTAGGAGCATTTGGGTGTTGGTGAGGTGGGCTGGAATATGGTTAAGCAGCTGGGTAAGCAGTAGGCTTAGAAACTGTGTTATTGTTTTTCGTCAGTGGAAAGCAAGTAGTAAACAGAGGGTTTTTCGAGAAGCTATTGATCGTGTGATTGCCATCTAGATCTTCATTTTTCTGTGTATTATTGAAGCGTTTGGCGTTCGTAAATTGCGTATCAAGGCACCCCTCCAGGCTCTGAAGATGACGATACTGCCGAAACGTCAGCTTTAATGGAATAACGGATAAAGGAACATCTCATGTTTGTACAACAAGAATATCGAGAACTTTTCGCATTTCTTCGCCGAAGCTAATGTTTCAAACACCAAAGCGATTGCGCAAATGGAACGTCGTGAAATGTGAAGGCTGGACGAATGATATCCTTTTATATTGCTGATCCTTGTGGCTGCTGCTCCTTTAGTTCTAAACAGTTTTAGAAATGGGTAGGGGGAATGTAGAATTTACGTACGCCTTTAAAGCGACAGTGCAAAGCCTGTTCTAGGTGTCTTTCGGGATTGAACTCCTTAGCAACTTTACTCTTCGAAAATCGACAAACTGTTGATAGTTATCAAAAAAGCAGGTATGGTCTGTTGTGTACCAGTGAGCCATATGTTGGCGCTCTGTGCACAGCTGACGAAGCATGTTAAATCAGATTAGATGGACAGAAGGATACGACATACAAAATCTATGCTAATTTTGGCTGAGTAAATTAAATGCTACCAAAGTGTATCGCATTGATGGCTTTTTTATCGGGAATGTTCTGTGTGTCCGCCTAACGTGTTATCCATATTGTTCGCTGAGACCTAGACTATTCCTTCCTATTACAGTTTTTACCATGTCTGCTCGATATTTTGTTAAAGATGCACTAAGGCGAAGCGCTGCGAACAGGTCGTTGCTAAATGTTCCTAGGAGGTGTTCTAGGTGTCGGATGACGATGTACAGCGAGCTTTCATCACTCCGGCGGGATTTCCAAGCTGAAAACGACTTCGAAGTTTTCATCCGAAAGCCTAGTAAGAAGTAAATCAGTACCAAAATCGCTGCCGACCTTGTGCCAGCTAGTTGCATAATGGCGAATTTCTGATCGACAAAGGCGGACGAGTGCCTGTGGTGAGACCCTCAGGAGAATTTTTGCTACGTTAACATCGGGGCTTTTTCAATTAGTTCACCTCATACGAGACCACCTTTCATATCCATTCTTCGTCTGCAGCCTTCATTTTGAAAGAAAGTCAATACCGTCAACTATTACTCACCAACTTGAAGAGCTGATAACAGCGAACTGAACGCGTTTCACGGCCAGTTGGAGGAAGTGGTCGGCGACGAGAACTAAAAGAATAGAGGGATAATGCTGCCGGCGTTGACTAATCCCTGAGGGATGCGCCATGCATTGGACTTTATTAAGCATCGTTGGAGGTGATTAAATGCTTATCTGGTCTTTATAATGGCTCACGGTAGCTTGCCGATGTTTCGAGCAAGTGCTGCTATCCTCCCAGTAAGTTTAGTACCAATTTCCCGACCCAGCAGGGATCGAAAGGTTGGTGAACTTGGTGCGCGGGAATCGATTCTATGAGTATTGCACGGCGCCTCGGACTACTGTGAAACATGCGCCCACGACGAGAACTGCTTCTATCAATTCGTTTTTGAAGACTTCAGTGATTCGGGGACGTTCAGCGGAAATCAATACGGGATAGGGAACTCCCGAATAGGTGGATGAAATGAGAATGGAAGCTGTCGCGTAGGAGTCCTGTGTGCAGCACATCTCTTCTTTGGGAATTCATTTTTCGAGAAGAGAGAAGATCACCGATGGACAAAGAAGTCTCCTAGAGCACCACTAATGTGGAGATCGGTCAATTCTCCCAAACAGAAAGTAGTGTCTTTTTGACAGCTCAGCGGTACCTGGACTCCGTCCGTACTGGATCTGATCAATCTTCTCGTGCGAAGATTCGACCCAGCCGTAAGCTGAGAAAGAGCTCCTGAGGTCGTCCAAGAAAGACGAGAGAACCAGTGTACGCGAATATTTCCAATGAAATTCTATCATCATATGAAATACAGATAAAGGAAGACCTGACCGGAGACTACACGCTGCTTGCCAAAGGGCTTAAACTTAAAAACAAACTTAAACTTATGCGAGTATAATGTAGCACTATCCGCCTCGTTGAATGGAAATGGGACCATCACCATATCACACCAATATGATACGAAATTGGTAGCTGTAAAGTTCTATACTAATCTGTTCCGCTTCACAGCTCCAATTGCGAACCCTGAAATAACCGCTGGTTGTAAACCGTCAGTGATTCTACTCTCCGAATTTCGAGTTGTGATAGGAAGAATGAAAAGGAGTACATTTGCAAGACCCGATAATATCACCACCGATCTCCCTAGACGTGGAAGCCACAAATTACAAGCCATTCTTACAACCCATATGATGTCTTATTTAAGAAAGAGAAAATCGCAGAACAGTGAGAAATACAGCGCACGGTCATCATATCCAAAAGAGTGACTAAAGGGATCTTCGTAAATACCATCCAATATGCTTGTTCGGTATACACTAATAAACTTTTCATGGCGATTGTCCTACTGCGCATATCGCATGAGAACTTTGGATGAGGCACAACAATTTGAGTTGGCAGGATTAGGAGAGCGATTCTGCAGCATGGACTACATTTATACCGCGTCGCGGGTCATAGAAGCCCATCGTAAGCACTCTGCTCCCTGTCTATATACGAACACTATCAGAATGTTGTCGGAACAGTAGCGCAAATATGCAACTTTTTCACCAATGCATCACCAAACCCATAGGAAAAGCAGTTTAACAAGGTGGCACTATCTCGACAAAACTATTTACAGCCGCATTGCAGCATGTAGTGAATTCGCTCGACTGGAACATGAAGTATATACGCACTCATTGTAAATTACTGTCAAACCTTAGTTTTCATAACTACATCGCCATGAGGAATATCACTGATGCAGAGATTCTTAATAAGCTCAACGAAGTGGAAAATAAAGGTCGGGTGGCGGAGATAGGGCGAAGACCCGATCCATGGAGAGCTTATGATGCGAAGACAAACAAGTCGAACTGAACTATTCTCATATTGCAGACATCACCTCTTGCTTGTACCTTAGGCCTTCAGTGAACATAGAGAACGGTATGAAGCACAAATTGAACAGAAGAGGAAGGGGAGCATTAGCCAGAGCTTCTCAAGGAAGCCATTAGCTAACGAACGGAGCAGGAACTCCGCGCTCACGTTTTTGACTCAGTTTTCCTCCCAGTACTGAATATGCAGCTAAGATGTAGGTGTATCCTTTAATCACGCCAAGGATTTTGCGCAGCATCCACAGATCCTTTAAAAGATGTCTTCTGAGATATAACCGGCACCAACATCGTCTAATCTGTATACTCAGCCTCGTAACCCACCCCATATTCCAAATTCCGAAGAATATGCATCGATAGCAAACCGACCATGTAAAAAGTAAAATGGAAAACAGATGGAAGAGAAGGACTGCTGAACGAACTACAAAGGAATACAAACGTTCCCTCGCACGACAACCTTAACCATTGGCGGGCGTGTTCGTGGCTTACGTCAGCCATCTGCAATTGCGGGAGAATACAATTTCTGGATCCCGAAATATGCCCCACGGACATCACCATGTTCGAAGCACACCACCACTATGGACGACGCTTACGTGAAAGAGAAGTGAATGGAGGATCAGTCGGGACCCAAACCACCGGTGAAGACGGGCCAACAAGTATTCAGGTGATCGTGGATGAGTTAGCTGGACTACGCATGGTAGAAGTGATAAGACACTATTAAACAAATAGAGTTAAATAGTCCGCAGCATGTTTTCTGTCGAGAAAAATATTCAAAGCTGAATTTTACCTCTTGCAATATTTTGTTGTTTTCTAATTGAGGTGTAGTTGTAGAATGTGACGAACAATTGACACAGTGAGTTTATTGTCTATTTGTCGTGAACTTTCTTTGCATTTCGCTTTGTTATTCTTTTGGGTTATGACGTGTTTTGTGTGACATTTAACATTTAATTTAGTTGAAGTTCTTTTCATTCTTCCGAATTTCGTTTAGAAATGCATCGATCTGAACGTACGTATTCACTATCAACACCGCTCTCCCCGGAGTTGATCGCTTACCTTCGCGAATCTATGAGCGAGCTGAAGTTTGATCCGCCCTATGTGTTTGTGATTTTTGGTGCATCTGTAGGTTTTTTTTTTCGTTTGTACTTTTCCATATCCCAACATGCCAGTTCAATGTATCGTTTTGTTGAAATATTTTATTGAGTAGTTAATACTCATAGATGACTTTTAACATATTTATGGTAATATAATCCATCCCTCCCAATGATTACCGCCTCATCGTAGCTGGGAGGTGTTTCTGGGTGTTGGACTGCGATGTACAGCAGAGGTATTCATCTTCCGGCAGGGTCTTCCAAGCGGATAAGGAGTCCGGCGTTTCTATCAGGAAGCCCAGCTTGGAGTAAACAAATGCCAGGATCCACCGCCGTCCTAGTATCAAACTAGTCGCATGGTGGCAAATCTCCATCTGATTCACAAGGGCGGCGACTGTCTGTGGTGGTGACATCTGGGGCAGATTGTGGGCTTACTGACCCCGGGACTCCAACGAACCATAATGGCTAAACCGCCAGAACTCCGAGGAAATGGAAATTATGGTGGAGCCCGCACAGCCAGTGAGGACGGACCCTCTAAGTATCCAAGTATATAATCCATCTATAATTCACAAGCGTTGAAAGTGTTTGAATTTCAAACATACCAGCTCATAACTCAGCAGCTTTCATTTTAAACTTCTCCAAGAATCGGCCTCCTGTTAACCTTGGTATTAATAAGTTACTGTTGTTGCTAAGCTGGCACGACGTTATTAATTGTTGTTATTCAAAGTTTTTAAGTAATCGAAAATGGCTAAAATGTTGGAGGATTTTGCCTTTTTCATAGCATGAAGTGGCTCATATTATAATGCAGTCTATTCGGCTATCTCTAGACAATACAGCATCTTCAGTAAATTCCTTTACTAGGTAAACAAGCTACATGAAAACATAAAGTTGAATATTTTTAGACTAAAGTTATGACATGTCTGTCATAAGAATCAAGAATATCTCTCCACTAATCTTTTAGAGACGCGTGTGGCGCAGTGGTTGGAGGCGCCTGCAATACACATGGGATCGTTTCCCGCGTCCCTTGCATATCAAGTCTTCCATCTCTCCGGGTTCAGCAAATTGGTACAAGACTTGTCTAGGGGGTTAGCATCACGGGTTCGATGCATCAGTAGTCCAGCGCGAGTCATTGTAAAGGCCAGGTATGCTTTCAATCACCTCAAACGGTACTTAATGATGTCAAGTGCATGGAGCATCCCTAATGGATTGATCAACGCCGAGAGCTTTATTCTCTTCTTAATATTTTGACGCCTTTTTTAGCAGACCCGAAAGCTCGAAGAGGCGAGATCAGATTAGGACCGGAAAAGAGGAATTATATTTGCTCGTGGCATTTTTTCAGCTTGATTTTTCACACCAGCCACTTTAGTCAGTAGTTTAAACTCTGTTTGTTGTCTCTGTTCGAAAGTGGAGAACACTAAAAAAGGATAAAAGGATAAAGCCTTCGGCGTTGATCAAACCCTGATGGATGCGCCATGCATTCGACTTAATTAAGTATCGTTGGAGGTGATTGAATGCATATCTGGGCTTTACAATGACTCTAGGTGGCCTATCGAAGTATCGAGCCAATACTGCTATCCTCGTGGAGAAGTCTGGTACTAACATGCCGACCACGGAGGGATGGAAGGCTTGGTGGGCCATGGGCACGAGAACCTATTCCACGTGTGTGTCGCAGTGGCGCCTCCAACCACCGCCACACGCGCCCTGTGGAGAACACTAGAAGGAAAAAATGCTGGCTGTTTATAAAGTGGTTCACTATTCGATTGAAACATAGGCTATCGGTTTTTCGTTGAGTTTACGAAAATATTTGGTTGATTAGAGTGCATTTTAATATGGTCCTTTCCAGGTTCCAAAGAAGCCGAATTCTGGTGGAACGTTAACGACTGTGAAATAAACAACATGTTAACAACACCTTATCATTCTGACCTTCAAGTCCTAAGTCCTAGTCGAGAAATTCCTGCAGTTCTCATAAAAGAGACTTCCTAAACTTGCTTAAGCTTTGAGAAACCAAATGTTTGAGTCGCGTGAGGATGAGCTGCATCGCAAACTATGTTGACATGGTTTTAAATGTTAAAATTAAAGAAGGCGTTGCGTCGAACTCAGTTTTAGATTTTCCTCTGGAGTGATCATTGAGCATTCCACAGGTCATTCGTAGGCGACTGGGCACAGGGAATTATAAACAGCTGTTGTATATCATATAAAGCCTCGTCGCCTTTTCCGTTTTCACAGTTATTCTTCAGGGTGATCTTGCAAAGAAGAAAATTTACCCAACTTTGTGGTGGCTTTTTCGCGATTCGCTGCTTCCCATTAATACCACTATTGTTGGTTTTGCCCGATCCGATCTTACTATGGCAAAGTTGAGGGCATCGTTTGAGAAAGCCTGTAAGGTATGTTGAGAAGTCTGGTTGTTCTTATTTCGGGTTTCGAGAAAGCCTCTAGTCTGTAAGAACTCCTGCTAAACATTTTTTCACTTCTTTTAAGATCCATGATGGTGAAAAGCAGAAGTTTGAGGAATTCATAAAAAGGTGCGCCTACATGAAGGTATGCTAGGCTTTGTAATTTTAGCTTCTAATGCTGTTTTGTCCATTTGTTCTTGGATAATATTTTATTCGTCTCTTGGAACACTTTATCAGTTTCTTTTTCTACTCGAGTATTATTTTGATTATTGCTGTTTTCCAGGGCCATTATGACAAACCAGAAGGTTTTGAACACCTGAAAATATTCATCAATGAACTTCAGGCTAAAAACAATAATCGTAAGTACTTTATTTTAGAGAGATAAGTGTACGCTGATATTGGTTATTGTTTCTAGAGGCGGTCATGTTTCTCTGCAAACGTTATATTCTTGTTTTTGTCTTTGTTACAGAACCCGTCAACCGACTGTACTATCTAGCAGTTCCGCCCGCTGTTTTCGAGTCCGTTACGTATGAGTTGAGCACACACTGTATGGATAATGGGTCTGTTTCTTTGAAATACAGCCACTTCCTTTACAGTTAAGATGTCCAGAGGCATAGTTGTTCTGCACTCTAGCGAGTATATTTAAGTGGTGACCAGAATTTTAGAGATTCCTGGACTCGTGTGGTCATCGAAAAGCCTTTTGGGCATGATTTGCAGTCGTCTACGAAGCTGTCCAACCATTTATCTAAGCTGTTCAAAGAGGTACGCGTTAGGAGTGGTTTTAGTTGACGATTTTAGAAATTGTGCAAAATGAGTCTTAAAGTGAACAGCCGCTCTTTTTAGACTTGATTTATCTCTTTCTCATGCACATATCTTGTCGTTTTCCGTTCTTCTTTGAGATTCAATGTTTCAGGAGCAACTGTATCGTATAGATCATTATCTTGGAAAAGAAATGGTACAGAATCTGATGGTGCTTCGGTACGAGTGTAGTCCTTCTATCTGCGATTTTTCTTAGAAATGCTACCTTTTTTATTGGATGGTAGTAGAAATTGTATGAATTATGTGTAGCAACCAAAAAGCCGAGGACATTTTCTAAATTCTGTAAATAAGACAGATCATCCGTTATTGCAACACATGAGTCTTCATCTTTTTAGCACTTTAGCGTTTATTTCATTTCCTTCGCTTTATATTTTGGCAGGCTACCAGCAAGTACCCTAGCACTTATAGAAAGCTATTTGCTGGAAATACCACTTTACTAAGGAGAGAAAGCGTTCCTTTAACAATTATGTTGATGTCCATTATTCCTGTTTTCAGCTTTGGTAATCGCTTTCTTGGACCGTCATGGAATCGTGACAATATCGCCTCTGTTACAATTTCCTTCAAAGAAAGTTTTGGCACTAAAGGTCGTGCAGGATATTTTGATACTGCTGGTATTATAAGGTCAGTACGGCCGAGTTAGCTTTATGTTACAAGTTTGCTTTATTTCTTTAATTAATTTGTTTATAAAAGAGCAATGAGGGAACTAGACCTACAACCACAAATATTCTGAGATACTAGCAAAACTCGAAATCTTTAACTGATCTGAGTCGATGGTCCACAGCCGTTCGTGTTCGCATTGTAGGTCTTCATAGTCGTACCAAGTTGAACCTACTTGAGTGGAGCGCCACTCGAATGATGTAACCTCACGGCTATCTCCTATGTAGAACTGTTGTTGATTGATTGTCGACTCATAATGACTTTTTTTCATGTCGACTATCTATCCTGCAGCACTCAGTATTATCTTCTTCATGAATGTGGCCAAATTTTGGTTGAGTAAATTTTCCCTGGAATACTTATAATGTTACTCTACCAGGGCGCTCCCAGATCCTCGCTATACGAAGTCATCGGGTATTTTTTTAATCTAAAGGAGATTTTCTTAGTGACGTCTACTGGTGTGCGCCGATTCCGCATTCCGCAGGAATTCTGATACAAGGTGCTAAGACATTGTTTGGCTGGTCGGAGCCAATGTTGAACCAGCGAACATGTGTAATATTTTCTTAAATTTTATTTCACATGACCGTTCTTTAGATTTGCAGTGTGGATCCTAACACTTATTGCATTCGATGCCTTTTTTACCACTCATTATCGACGAAAGTCTCCTAACCTTCGCGTGTTAGTTCGGCTGCTGGGTGAAGTTTTCCGCTTCGTTGTGAATGTCCTTGGATGATAGTCGTGTCGATTCTGCTTAATATTCTGAGATAACTGTGTTGGAGCCTTTCCACGTGGATTGCAGTGGGTGAATTGAGCCCAGAGAGCTCTGGCACCAATTTTCCGACCCCAGAGGAATGGGAGGCTTGGTGAACCCAGTAAGGAGTCGAACTAGCAACATGTTGGTGATGAACGCCATCACTGCGCTGCCGCCCTATCTGCATGGTGTTATTGCATCGCGTCTCTAACCAGTGCTCTAATCACCCCAATCTAGGTTTATTGCACTCAATACGTGGAAAATATTGCGTTAGCATGTTCATACCTTTACCCAAGACGGCAAAATCGAGTAGTCCGTTTTCCAGATCCTTAGGCCTAATTACAGGTTGTTTTTTTGCCATAATTAGTCTCGATTACTGTTTACCTAAAGCAGATCCGTAAATAAAGGGATTTATAAAAAAGCCCAACCCATATTCGTCACTGTTGTTTGAAGCCAATAATTATTAGTGATTATCCAGCGTTTGTGGAATTTTATCTGGTTTCTAAATGTAATTTTTTCTTTGGTCAATAGTATGCGAAGTTTTTTCTGCATCAAGACAGCGCTAAGAGTCTGGCCTTCATTTTTTAAAAATTGTTTCTTACTGCTACTACTGACGTTGTTTTATTTAGAGATGTGATGCAGAACCATCTAATGCAAATTTTAACGCTGGTAGCAATGGAGAAACCTGCTAGTCTGAATACTGAAGATATTCGAGATGAAAAGGTACCCGTAATGAGCTCTTCTAAACCAGATTCCTATTTCCGGTTTTCAGGTCAAAGTTCTAAAAGCAATAAAACCCGTGAAGTTGAAACATATTCTATTGGGTCAGTATGTAGCTAATCCAGAATGCTCACGTAAGTTGTTTCTTTTCATATTTTTATATGTTCATCCCGATATTTTCTGAAGGATAAAAAAGATCATTGACAGAGCTTCTTGGCGTTGATCAATCTCTGAGGGATACGTCACATATTCAACTTCATTAAACATCGTTAGAGAGGATTGAATGCACGGTGACCTACAGATATATCGAGGCAGAACTGACATCCTGTGGTATCAATTTGCCTACCCCCGAGGGATGGAAAGTTTGGTGAACTGCGGGTCGGGATCGATCACATGTGTACTGTAGGGAACCTTTGACCGCTGCGCTGCAGAAACTCTTTTCGGAGGACAAAAGCAGATATTTATCAAGCTAAAAAATCGCTCAAATCAAATCCAGTGCAAGACCAATGCAGGAAACAAGAGTTGCTACGTTATTTTCCATAATTTCGGGTGCGAGAGGAGAGCAGCACTGAGTCGATACATTGTCAGGACACCGCTAGTCATCGTACTGGCCATAAATGCATTCATTCACCTCTGTATATGTTTTATTTAGTCGAAAGTATGGTGTCATCTTGAGAGACTGATTAGTGCCGAAACTTCGATTGTTTATCTCCATTACTGCATCGTAATTCTTGGGAAATCAAATGTTTACCGCTTAGTTTTCTTTGGAGGGTGATACTGTAGGCCAGATTGCGATATTCAGCAGGTGATTCATCTTCTTGGTGTGGTTTTTGTTGCTGTACATTTCGCATCTCCTTTAGAAGGCACAGCTAAAGGTAAACCTGTTCTATGACAGCACTCGGCAGAGCATTTTATCACCAAGGACGCTAAATGAAGAGATGGTCTTGTCAAAAATAGTGGTTCTATCTCCCGAACAAGCAGGGCCAACTGGGTAACTCTGAAGTACGACAGAGACCACTGAAGACTTCATTCATGCTTTCTCGAGTTAATCAGTAATTAAAGAGATTTTAGGCGATATATAATACAATTAATATGGAAACTAATTGCGATTTAGACGTTTCTCTTGCAATTCTTTAAAAAAAAACAAGATAACTTACCTATATTTTTTTATAGATCCAGACGCTTCGGCAAGTTATAGAGATGAGCAAGATGTTCCACAGAACTCTTTAACCCCGACATACGCCCTTGCAATTCTCTATGTGCATAATGAAAGATGGGAAGGAGTACCGTTCTTCCTGCGCTGTGGAAAAGGTGAAGATCGGTTTCATTGTAAAGTGCCCTATTACAATGTGCGGATCAATTTCGAAAATTTACAGCTCTGAATGAAGATAAAGCTGAGGTTCGCGTACAGTTCAAGGAGGTTAACGGCGACATCTATCCACCTGGTGAATTGAAGAGGTGTGCAACTATGACTTCATTCACACCTATTGTTTCCATTGCTTATTTCGTTTACTCTAGTGTTCTCCCTTTTCAGGAGTGAACTTGTAATACGAGTACAACCTAATGAGGCCGTATATCTGAAGTTGATGACTAAGAAGCCTGGTATGGGGTTTGGTGTCGAGGAGTCAGAACTTGACTTGACCTATAATGCAAGATACAAAGAACGTAACTCTATATCATGTTACTTGTAAAGTTCTCAAGGTTTTGTATTTCATTTTGTATTTCATTCGTTTTTGTTTAATTGATCAATCATCTGGTAGATATCATTACTGATTATCAACGCTTAAGGTCCGAGGTTACTTTTTTGCAAACTGCTGGTAATTTTTCGATGACTAGAAAACTTAGTAGGTTGAAAAAGTGGTCGGTTTGGAGAAGAGACTTTGTTCATTTTATTTAGAGCAAGTGTAGCTCTTTAATACTGTTATTTGATTTTCAAATTATTTGGAATTAAAAGTTCCCGAAGAGATCGAAACGAAATTTAAATAGTTCCCATGATCGACTTTCTGTTAAGCTCGGTATTGAATTTAAATATTTGAAATACCAAACGAGACTCCGTCAGTCACCCGTCAACGGGAATGATCTAGGTATCACCAATCGGAAATCGCGTCAGTTACAAACGGCAGCAACGCATTTAGGACATCATTGTTTTCTGTTGGACGAAACTGCTTACACAACTGCTTTCATGTTCGAAATAGGAGTTTCGATGAAGAGAATTGTACAAAATACTTTCGATGTACTCCAGAAAACCAGAATAGCATCTTGATAAGATAGTAAAGCCCTTATCTTGTTTGCAAAGATTTCTGGATACCAAAGTACAATTTGAGACGAGGCATTTGGTTTAAATTTGAAGACGGCCGTTATTTGTGCACCGTGTGAGTGAAAATCATCTCACATCGGGCCCGAAGTATTATCGAAACACTTCTGATTTAAAAATCAATTCTCCTGAAGTGCATCAACAATACATTACGTTTCTCTTATTTTTCGCTAAATTCTTTAAAAAATGCAACTCGAATGATTGAGTTTCACTTTTTAGGACATACGTTTACCTGATGCATACGAACGACTTCTTCTCGAAGTGTTTATGGGATCTCAAATTAATTTCGTTCGCACTGATGAACTGGAGAACGCGTGGCGTGTATTTACTCCAATTCTTCAGCAAACGAAGGATATAGAACCGGTATTCTACAAGTTTGGAAGGTTTGTACTTTTCAGAACCAGCCTTTATTTTAGTGCCATATCCCTAGTTGGTTTTCAAATCTGCCGCCATTTTTTGGTAGAACTAGGTCATTTTTTCATTTTTCTCCACATTTTGTCTAATGTTGTACTATTCGGGAATGTTACAACGAGAACGTTAGAGTTCGGTGGTGCATAGGGCAAAATTGTCATATGAGCATGTTTCACAACGTCGTCACAGAACATGACTATCTCCGGATAGAACATAGGCCAATACGCCTGGTTTTTACTGAGCGGTATATCGTTGTAAAGTTTAAATCTTAGTGGTGCTACTTCATTTTAAAGACTTGCCTACAGTTGATAACCTTTTAATCCTTTTTTCTCTAATACAGCCGCGGTCCGAAAGAAGCCGATGAAATGATGGAAAAAAATGGCTTTATCTTCTCAGGGACCTATAAATGGCTTTCACCAAATAAGCTATGATGATGACTCATACATAGTTAAAAATTTTGTTGTCCAATGTCTAACTCGACTGCGTTGTTATAATCTAGTAGGATCTGTGAGCAGAGTAATGTATTTTAGATTGTTTCGAGTTTATTCATAACCTCAATATCTGTGCGACATAAAAGAAAACTTCATTGACTGCTGTTGTACTTATGCCTACAATGTCTTGTAAGTGGAAGTGGTCCGTGTTGCCGGTTCTTAAAAGCCGTAGATCTGACTTCTCTATTTGGTAATATGTATAAATAAATGGTATGACTATTTTGGCTGTGGTATGGCTGTGGCCTGTTGTGAAATTAAAGAGGTTGGGCTCTTTAGGGTGGGTTTAAGTGTGTTTCGTTGAACAGTGTTACGCGTGCACTGGATTCAGATTTTATGTCGTTAGGAGACAGTGCGGTTACGTCGGATTCTGATGTAAGCGGAAATGCCTGCAATTAACGAACTCAGAGACTTGATCTGTGTAAGGAACAAATGCATACTTGTCAATGGTAAAAGCAGAGCTTGTGAGAAATAAAATGACACTTGGAGAGAGTCAATCTCGTGTGCGATGATCAACATATCCAGTGAATATTGTATTCGTCTCTCCACAGTGCTATTCCACATGTATCGCTTCTAAATTCGTTTGTCACTCAGTGATTTCGACGGACAGCCATAATCTCAATCAGTTTTTTTTTGCGCTGTATTAGCTCCCTAATTCGAAGTTCACGGGGAACATCACATTTCCTGCGCATATAAGACTGCCTTGGATATTCACACGCGCACGATGTAAAAATAACCATAAGACAGCTTTGCTAAGAGTTCCTTCCAATCCTTGATACTTCCCAGTTTTTTTAAAATACTTACTATCATTATCGTTAGTTAACGTTTCCCAAAAATAGCTATCGACGATCACGCACAAGCACAACTCGAGCATAATATTGGTTGTTCATTCGTTTCTCAATTTCCACATTTCTGTACAGAAGGCATTCGGAAAACAATGTGTTGGCAATAACTGATAAAGGATAAAAAAGATAAAGTCCTCGGCGTTGATCAATCCCTGAAGGATCCACCACGCATTCAACTTCATTAAGCATCGTTTTGATGTGATTGAACGTATATCTGGCCTTTGCAATGACTCGCGGTGGCCTACCGACGTACCGAGCCGGTGCTGCTATCCTCCTAGACAAGTCTGACACTATTTTGCCGACCCCGGAGGGATGGAAGACTTGGTGGACCATAGGCGCCGGGATCGATTCTACGTATGTGTCACAGGGCACCTCCAACCACTGCGCCACACGCACCCTTAATAACTGATATAGAATATAATTATGGTGACTTTAACACAGAATGGAATTCTGTTTCATTGAAATTACACAGACTAACAGAACTTTCCTTGTAATGTGGTATACCCAGATATGTCGTTTATTTACAGCCCTTCATCTGAATCGCCTGGTCTCAGGTATAAACGAGCGTTCTGCGCTTAACTTCTTGTTCTCGAATTATGAACGGGTTATATAATGTCGTCGTCAACCGGCCGAGATCTTTCACTTAGGAAAGAATCGTAGATATGTTTGATATTTAACCATCCACTTTTGAAAAGATGAACGCCTATACTATATGCAGGAAATACTTGGAGACTACTGAATACTGAATACTTGGGTGGCCCATCTTCGCTGGTTGTGCCGCCCCAGCATAATTTCCATTTGTTTCATTCTCTTAGAGTCCACTCCACTGTTCATTTCATCCATCAACTGTTCTTCTTATTATGTGACAGGCTCTCCTGTGTTTCGTTGTAGATATATGTTCTCCTGAATCCCGACGATGGGATAAGTCTCGAAGATCTATGTTGCGCACTCCGGCTAGACGCTATGATTACCGGTTAAATTTAAAAAGGCCTCGTTCAAGTGCTCTGTGGGTGGCGCGCATATTTCTTTATGTGGCTGAAGCATCAGCCCATGTTTCTGAGAGAGCGCCAGGAGAACTGTTGAATCGAGAAGGTGAGCGCTGGATCGGTTACTCGCTCGGTGGCATCTTTGAGAGACCCGAATGCAGCCCTTACTGACCTCCTGTCTAATTCCTCCTTCATGTTGTCTTCCGTTTCCATTGAACGTCCGAAGTACACGTGCGAGGTGGTTTCTATAATCAGTGAATCATCTAGTTCGATTTCTTTACCTTCGTACCATAGATTCTTCATGAACTAAGCCTTCAACCTATTTTTCCGCAGTCCAATCCTTTTCCCACTTTGTTGAGTTCATCTAGCACCTCTACTTCACTGGTGCTCCCGAAAAAGTGACAATGTCATCTGCTAAACGAACATTTCATAGAGATTTTCCATCAATGCGTATGCCCTTCTTTTCCCAGACGAGTGACTTCGTGATTCACTGCAGTGCGACACTGAACAGCTTTGGCGATATGGTGTCACATCGTCGAACCGCTTTCCCGTGGGTATGGTAAGAGGTCGCTGGAAAAGCTGTGTTTTCGCAGTGCAGTTTCGATAGCAGTCAGATAGAGTTCTTATGTAAGGTGGATTTTTGGTCGACGAGCGCTGATACGATTGTATTTGTTTCGATGCTTTAAAACGCTTTCTCGTAGTTGATACTCGACACGACCTGTGGAGTAAATAGTAATAATTATACAGAAAAGCTGAAACTATTTATTATGCGCCACCATAGTAACCAATTACCCTGCTCATTTACACAAACTGTGTGGCGCGAACATAAAAGGCGGAAACAAAACGCTAGTGAAAGCATCGTCAACCATGCTTGAGCATTGTCTGGCTCTCGTCACTCCTTTCCATCGCGCGTAGATTGAATGGAATTCACAGTTTAACTTCCTCATGGTATTTAGATTGTACCGTCATGTCGATGCGCATCCGCACGCGGGAAATATATTTCTCGACTGGAACTCGTTGCCTAAGTTCCAAGGGAAACTTTCCAGCTGACAGTCGGATACAGTGCAATAACATCGTAGATCACCTTCAAAACTCAATGTGCCCCACCGCCTTTGGAATCACCATAAAAAGATGAAGGATAAGGTTCTTGGCGTTCATCAATCGTTGAGGGATGCGTCATGCATTCGACTTCGTTAAGGATCGTTAGTGGTTATTGAATGCATCAATTCTCCTAGACAAGTTTGGTACACATTTACCGACTCCAGAAGAATGGAAGGCTTGGTAAGCTTGAGACACGGGATCAATCCCATGTGCATTGCAATTCGCATCTGCCTTTAATCACTACGCTATACGCTCCGGGAACGTTGAGAGGCTTGATGAGCCTGGTGTGTGGTCGGACAGGTACCATGCTCGTGATGCTCGGCACCACTACCACTACGCCACCCGCCTTCTGTTGGACACGCAGTAATGACAGCCGCCTTTTCCTCGTTTTCTCGCCGTTGCTTCTTCTGAATATAGCAATCAAAAAAGAAAGAAAGAGCCATTTTAGGTAGGAACTCGTTTTGTGACTGAAAAATCGACTGATCTTAGCAAGTCTTCTTCTCTTTCGTCTCGTAGATGACTACTTTCAGGATATACCAATGGTTCTTATAAAAAAACCAACAGGTGACGACTATGATATTCTTCGAGATTTCGATCCGTGGTGTTTCCATTATTGTATGCTTTAGCATCCACCCAGTTTGCCACTATACGTTGCTGATTCTAGCTTCTTTATCTGTTATTGTTTCCGTACATCCATAATGGGTATTCTCTAATATCATTAGTAGACGACGATAACATAATCTCATGGCACAGTTCGGAATTCGTGTAGCAAACCTGTTTCTGCCGATTGAATACAATTCGCATTAGCTTGTCCAACCTACCGGAACTGAAGCACGCTCTATTCTACTTCCTGTTTTGTCTGTTTGATCTGGAAGAGGTTTTGTGGACGAACCTGTGCTAAATATCGATGGGCGAGCAGTTGGTCTATTGTAGCACGATTTTGGACATCTCGTATAGTACACATCTGAATCAAACGATAAACAATGCAAGTATTACTGTACAAAGCAGCTCTATATTTTTATTCGCACTGTATGAAGCACACAGCTGGTTAGAGGAAGAGAAAAAAAGAAGTATGCATGATTATACATTAAATGTTGGCGACAATAGTGTTAATTCATCAACGTCGAGAACGGATACGTTGAGCAGGAACCTTCTCCATTCCTCATAGAAGTGGACGACGAAGATAAAAGCACTGGGTATTAAACGATCCCTGAGAGACACGTCATACATTCGACTCAATGAAGCACGTTTATGTGATTGAATGTATATTTGGTCTATACAGTGAGTTGCAATGGCCTACCGATATATCAAGCCAATGTTTTTATCCTCTCAGAAAAGTATGCCAAAAATATTCCGAACACAGAGAGGTGAAGGGATATTTACTTGACCTTTTCGATATAACGATCGAAATCTTCCCCGAGTTCGACAAATGATTTCATGATGCTAGAAGTTTGTCAATGTATAATTTCATACGCTTTTACCAATAGATATGGAAACGGTAGTATAGTTTTTAAAAAAATTTTATGTAATAAAGAGAGGGAGAGGAGCAGGGTAGCACAGTGGTTAGTAATGCAATCTATCAGGAAGCAAGGTTCTATTTCGAGCTCTTCCTTGACGCTCTCCTCCAGTTCAAGTAGGAACGTCTTGGCTCGGCTATCCTCAAGATTGCAATGAAAATTCGACAAGTGTTCTACGACCTTCATGAAGAAAACGAAATCCCCGAGCAGAAGCCTAAACAATACTTGAAGTTGATAAATATGAATGTGTCGTTTTCTTGTTCAGCAATCGCGAGGTTTTCAAACAGCATACATTTACTTCCATAGAGAAACACAATACAATACAACGCTAGCTGACGTTTCGGCAGTATCGCCTTTGTATTGTATTGTGTTTCTCTATGGAAGTAAATGTATGCTGTTTAAAAACCTCGCGATTGCTGAACAAGAATACGACACATTCATATTCCAATGCCGAGGTTAATAGAAAGTCGATCCTGGGAACTATTACAAGTAGA